ACACCCAACCTTGAGAGTTTTCCACCAGTTTCAGTGGAATTTTTTCCAGTGAAATCCCAGCTGCCTTTGCTGAGCCACAGCCCCTGCAGGGACAGGGATGTGTCCAGAGCAGAGGCTCTGGAGCAGCCTGGAACAGCTCCATCCACGGCTCCTGGCTGACCTGGGCATCGTGGATGTCCCAAATTCCTCCTGGGAACTGCTCCTCACTGCAGGACAACCTGACCATGGGATGGGACAAGGGGCAGAGATGGCAGCAATTGCAGGGAATGGGGAAAAGGGGGGGGAAAAGGGAAAATCCAACATTCACCTGCCAATGTGTGAGCTCCACCCAGCGCTGCCAAGGGCAGGAACAACCCCCAAAGCCTTGGTCACATCTGGGATCAAAGGGAATCAAAACCCCTGAGCTCCACTGAACTCCTCCGTTCAGCGTCCTCAACTTCATTCCTTATTGGGAGAGGAAAGAATTCCCTCAGCTCCTGGGGATTTTACCGGGATAGTTGTTCCCTGTTCACCTCAGAACCACAGAATTCGGGTTGTTTTAGGCAATCAGGTGACAGCTGAGTAAGGAAATGACAGAAGAAAACTGCAGGCAGCCCCAAAATCACCTTCCTGCCTCGTCCCAATCCACAGGCGGCACTGCTGGAACTGCCCAGAGCTCCCAGGAACAGATGCAGGGAACCATCCCACCTAAAAATGTCCTTCTTTTTCCCCCAGCACAGTGACTGGGAGAGCCCCTGCCAGAACAACACCAAAGATTTGCTTCTGCAAACAATCAGAAAAATCTTCAAGGACCTGGAGCCTCCTCATCCTCCAAATAAATTCCAAGCTGCCTTTTTCTTCCCTTTCCAAGTGGAGTGGAAAAGAGAGATCCTCCCTTCTCCCAAACTCTTAATAATGTTCTTCAAACGCTTTGGAGATGCTTCAAGAGAAAGCACTGAAGAAATATTAACCAGGATTTCATCCCAAAGCCTTGGAGCTCATTTCAGGGCTGGCTCCACATTCCAGCCTCATTCCCTGCTCCCAAATCCCTCCTGCTTTAAGGTGATGGGCGTGTGGGTGCTTCAAAAAGTTGGGAACCTCAAGAGCTTTGTCCTGCAGGGTTTATAAATCCCTTTTTTCCCTGCTTTGTGAGTGGAAGCAGAGGTTTTCCACAGTCCCAGAGGGATATTCAGGAAAATCTGGCCGTGGATGATTCCCCTGTCCCCAGCCCGGAGCCTGCGAGCTCCTGGAGCTGCTGGGGCTGACACTAATGAAAAATAAGGAGCTCCCAGCACAGCTGCCATGCGAGGAAACACCAAAAATGTGCTCCTAATTTCTTGCTCAGCTCCAAAGATTTGTGAGGACTTTGTGGAGCTACTGCAACGAGTTAGGAATGATGAAGTGCAAGGCTCCGGCTCGGGCCAAGCGGCGGAGGACGCAGACACTGCCTCGTTACTGCCCCGCTAATTGAGGTCCTGCTCGGCCCGGAACGCCGAGGGAGCAGCAGGAAAACGTCTGGGACCTTTCCCTTTTCCAGCCATCCTTTAAAAAACACTTTCTAAAATCCCACCGTGCCGCAGGAGCCAGCCCGGAATGAGCAGGGGGATTCTCGGCCGGCTCTTTCCTCCCGAAAGTTGAAATATAAAGTTCGGGGAGCATTTTGGATACCTGGATTTAGGAGAAAAAAAAACCACGGGATGTGGGAAATAATGGACTTTCCAAGTGCACCTTGGAAACCAGGCGCTGGTTCTTGTCGTGCCTCCGGGAAAGGAGGGGCAAGGATGGGTCCAGTTAAATGTTGGGAGAGTGGGAAAAGAGCTCCTGGAATTCTGTAGGAGACTTGAAGGACTTTCCCAAGGTCTGGACAGGCCTTGGAGCACCCTGGGAGAGTGGGAGGCGTCCCTGAACATGGATGGGGTGGGAATGGGATGGGATTTATGGTCCCTTCCAACCCAAACCACTCCGGGATTCTGGAGCCCCTCTGCTCTGGAGCCAGGCTGGCAGAGCTGGGAATG